TTCTATATCCTTTTAAATTCTGTAAAATCTGTGGTAATGTCCTCTAAATTTTGATATTGTAATTTAAAAATGTATAATTGATATTGTGTAATAGGAAGAAAAGGTCTAAAGGAGAAGGGGAAGTGGGAGTGGTTGGGGAAAGGAAAGAAGGGAAAAGAAAAAATTTGAGAAAAGAAAAAAAAATGGAAACAAAGTCTTTGCAAGTAGAGAAGGGTGGAGGGGATGAAGGAAGGGCAGGGGACAGGGAAAAAATAAGAACCAAGATACATCATGTAAAGGTACAAGATTACAGTGATGAATATAACTATTTTATATCTAAAATGTCAATAAATTTATTGGAAAAAAAGAAATACCATCTTCAGCTGAATTACTGAAGTTTATAAAGTAGTAATCAGAAAATTCTCCTCAATGGGCCAGATAACATATATTCTTTGCTGGCTATGCAATCTCTGGCACAATGTCTTGATTCTGCCACTGTAGTGTAAAAGCAGCTGGAGAAAACATGGAAATGAAAATGATCTTTCTTTACACAGACAAATTTGAATTTTTAGGTCATTTTCACATGCCATGAGATATTCTTTTGATTTTAAAAACCATTTGAAATTATGAAAAAATGTATAAACATGTAAAGATCATAATTGAGAACCATATAAAAATACATGGCAAGTGGGTTTGGCTGGTAGACCAGTTGGCTGACCCTGGTTAAGTTAAAAGGACACTGTAATCTACCTTGTTCACAATACTCATGGGTGAATGAGGACTACTTATAAAGTAAGCATTTCCCAAAGAGCAGCTGGGGGGAAGAGCTAGACCAGTCATGGAAGTAGACCAGTTGTGGAGCTAGACCTATGGCATGCATGTTATTTTTCTGTTAAGACACAAGATGTTAACGCATGAATAGTTTTTTTCTAAACTAAAACCTCACTATTCAGGTTTAATTGCAGTGTTGACATTTTATGTTGACATAAGTAGGTTTTGGGTTGCAGTTTGGGCACTTGTCTCTAAAAGGTTCACCATCACCAAACTAGAGCCTCTTACTCCAAAGAACAGAAACATAAGGAAGAGTATGATACATACTGAAAAATGGTGGAATGATGGTCAAATAAATAGAAGATACTTTCCCCTCTGCTGTTTTACAAACCTGGGTCGATGAGAGGAAGTTTCAGGGAGGCAAATTATAACTTAATGGAAGGAATAATTTCTGTCAAACAGCTGCCCCATCATAAAACACGTTGCTCCTCAGGGATCTTTCAAGAAAGTTGCTGAGGGGATCCCACAGTGGGTGAGAGACTGGGATCAGAAAAAAATTTAAAACATAATAAAACAAACCTAACCTTCAAAAATCCTTAGGACCTCTTGATTAATATACTTCTTTATTTCTTCAAATGAAACTGCATCAGCCTAAAGGAGGAAAAAGAACAGTCTGTTGTAAAAGAGCATATATCACATGAATAGAGAATGGACATAGTGGGCTGCTGTGCATACTTGGAACTTCTGTAGTGATGCATTTTCAAACAAAATGCTTTTGGAAATTGACTACTGGGTAATATCTTTTGATCAAATAACGAGAATAAGTTGAAATGCATAATTGCTTTAAAAGCTGAGAGATGGAATTCTAATCTGATGTTAACATATTTCCTATTAATAGAGAGACATGGCTTCATACAGTTTAAAAAAAACAGTTCATAGGGCTGGGGATTTAGCTCAGTGGTTTCGCTGCCTGCTGTGCAAGCGCAAGGACCCGAGTTCCATCCCCGGTACCAAAAACAAAAAAACCAAAAAAACCCCAGTTTATGTTGCTTCATTTTATAACATTAAAGAACTCAAACAGTACTATCATGATGTTAGTATCCCAATCACAAGCTTAACTTCCAACTAAGCCAGTGACACTGGGAAAGTCCCTGATATTTATCGTCAAAGGAATGAAACCTCTGAGGTACCTGAGTATGTTGTATTATCCCTTAAGATGTTTTTTTCTTGGACTAAAACTCACAAATTTTGCCCATTTCAAAATTTATTGTATAATTTACATATTGCAATCATAAATGTATTAAGCGATTTTCTTTGTAGAAAATGCCTGTGATATCCAATAAAAGGAAGTACATGAATGATATCAGTGTCACTATTAACTCCTTAACACTTTCATCTGTATACATTTGCAAAAATCTAACATTTATAATAATGTTTTACTATAGTACCTTGCTATTTTCAAAAGGTTAGGATTTTAAAGTTATTCTATTTAGTTCCTTTTAGTTATTATCTAGGTATATATGTGGCAATAAATATGCCATATAGAATGTAATTAGTAGTCGTGGCAGGGCTTCACGTCCATCGCCAGGCCCCTACTTTGAGATGTGTACATAAACAAAGACTATAATTGCATATGTTAGATGAGACTTCAAAGCTGTTATGATCTAAACAGTCCCTCCAAACTCTCACGTACTGAAGAGGCAGGGCTTTTGGAAGGTGATTGGATCATGGAAACACTATACTCATCAGTGGACTGACTCATTGAGTTCATAGCTGAATGTGCTGTTAGCAGGTGGGGACTGGTTAGAAGATGGGGTTCACTGGCAGCATGACCTGGAAGAGTGTAGCCTTGTCCCTGGCTCCTCCTTTCTTTCTCTGCTTCCTGCATGCCCTTTTTCCATGCCATTTCTGCCTGGAGCCAGACACTGTGGACCAAACCCTCTGAAACCATGAGCCAGGTTGCAATATTTTATCTTGGCAATGGAAAAGTGGCTAACACAGAAGCTCTGTGGAAATCACCATTCAGTATGATTTTCAGTCTAGATCATGCCTCAACTCTTCTCTACAATTAGATAGCCTTAATTTATAGAAGTCCTTGTCTTGGTAGGTCCTCCATCATTCTTCACTACAAATTCCTCCAACCTGTTTCCATTCTGTGGCTGGGCATGTGATTATAATATTGCTGTGGGTTTTCCTAATATTATGGTACTTACTGGTTCATTTATACCAGTAACTCATTTAGAATAAAAGACAATGTGATAGGCTGATAAAGTGATTTCAGTTGGACAGAATACTTCCAACACGCCTGACTGGCTTTCCACCCCCTCAAAAATATCAGTGTCCCCAGTTCTGAACTGCAATGTATCTCGTTTCTCTGAATGCCTTCCCTCTACTCTTAAGTGCGTCCTAAATCTCTAATAAGCCCTTCTCATGCCTCTGAACAAGAAAGAAAAAAAGGAATGATTGATTTCATTATTTTCACCGTGTGTGACAAATGAACTTGAATTAAAGTATTTAATACTAATTACTGACACAAAACCAAGAGTTTGTATTACATAGGCCTTATTACATAGAGTTTAGGGAGATTGGGTACAAAGAAAGAAGTACTGTATGAAGACTGTATGAATGCCCTATTGTTTTTCACTGTACCTGGTATAAATACAGGCTTTATTAAAGTAGAGTTTAGGGAGATTGGGTAAAAATAAAGTATGTAGATTGTAGGAATGCCCTGTATTCCTACCCTGCACAATTTGCACTGTATCCGGCCTCAGGCTGAGGAAAGTATGTCTTTAAATCTCCTAATCACTCCAGGATCCTCCTTCCCTCCTGTCATGGACATTTTCAGATTCAACTCCACTGTGGAATGGCTACCCGCTACTCCTCCCGAGGCTGTTAACAGATCTGGGTTTCTTTAAACACACTTTCTTGGCCTATGCCATCTGTACTTCGAAGCCCTACTCAGGCAGACTTCTTGTCCTGACAGGCAACAAACTAGAGTTCGGTGTGAAAGAGACTTAAGTGGTTTCTGTGTAGTGTAACATTACAGACAGTATTTTAATGACCCACCTAGTGATTCTCTGATCTTGGGCAAGTGACCTCTCGGGTTGTGCATTTATAAAAGTGGGATTGAAAGGACACCTATCCTCCTAGACTGGTGGTGAAGCTCAAATGAGATCATGTATGGTTAAGTGTTTAGAGAGGATCTGGCATACACTTTTAAATAATATCAGAGACCAGTGTAGGTATATGTATTTATGCATTTAAAAAGCATTATCGTTCCTTTCATCATAAAAGGAGTACATGAGCAGTACAAGCCAGGAGCCCCTAAAGGTCTCAGTACCACTTACCGGAGTGCCAGGGAGGCCTGGGGATCCTGGGGGGCCTTGGTGGCCAGGGGATCCAATAGAGCCCTTGCTTCCTGGTGGCCCCATGGGACCTATGGTCCCCTTCGTGCCCATAAGGCCTGGCTTTCCTCTTTCACCTTGTGGGCCTCTGTCTCCTGGGATTCCCTGATCACCCTATTATGGAGGGAAAAGATAAGGAATGATCTTTTCTAGAAAAATCAGCTATGGTTAAGAGCAAAGGTTCTGGATTCATGCTGGCATTTATTTGCTGTGGGACATTGGATAAGTAAATTAAACTCTGCTCCAGCTTCCTCTTTTATAAAGTGGGGATATAAATACAGTAGTATCCAAGTGCTGAGGACAATGTCTGGCACCTTGGAAGCCCTCTACCAGTGGTTGTGAACTCATGGCACACATGCTGCAGCAGGCACGCAGAGCCCTCCCTGTCTTGGCACACAAACCAAGTCACCCCAGCAGCTGGGCATCAGATAACAGTTGTTTTTTCCTCAGTATTCGGGTTCAATTGCAGTGTTGGCACTTTGTGATAAGTAAGTGGATTTTGGGCTGCAGTTTAGGCACTCATCTCTAAAATGTTCGCCATCAGTGCTCTAGATCAATGGTATAGAGGCTGAGTCATGCTTTGTTGCCAGTTTGAATGATGATGCTTTTGAAAATCTACACAGCTGTCACTTCAGGTCTGGCTCTTGTTTGCAATAATCAAGGAAAATTGCCAAAATGATCTCACCACTCAGATTTCTCTTGTAGAAAAACATCAGGACACTCAGCCTTTGCTAAGTCACGTACCGTTTTTCCTCCTTCCTGAATTGCCCTGGTTTGTCTGGTCTTTATTGGCTGGTTGGTTTGGGTTTGTTTTTTGTACCTGAGTTTTGCATGTGTGTGTGTGTGTGCACGCGCATGTATTCAGTTTCATAAATATATACAACTCGGGGAGGGGAGTTCAGAGCTGAAGAGGAAGGATGCCCCTCAGATAACTTAATGTCATAAATGAACTATAACACATTGTTGAGTAAAATATCAGAATTAGGAATAAAGTTATATTAGATGTGCCTGAATCTGATAATGAAGTTTCTTTAATGCCGTCTTCATTGTGCAATGTGTCTACTACTGATTGTTTGGCCAAGAGTGGAAGAGAAAGAGATTACGGCAGGTGTCTCAGTTACACTGTTTCAAACATTCAGTCTCATAGCGCCCAGAAGTGATGTTCACACCAAATGTGCTGGCAGAGTTCTTGAGGGTGCCCTGATTTTGTGGCATTACTTTATTTGTAATTACTCTGTCACTGGACAAACTGTATTTGTCTTGATTTTTAAAAAATATTAAAAATATATTTGCATATAGGTAAATCAAGCCAGGTCACATTGGAAGAAATTTCTGAGATAACCAGAAATCTAGCACACTTGATCAATACAAAATAAACATGCAAAATAAACATAATTCCTAATGTTTTGGTTAGGTACAAAGATGTTCAGTACAGTGATATTTATTATGAAAACTGGGAAGAGACTAGGTTATTAAAAAAAAAAAGCATAACCAAGAAGTGGAATAAGATATAGCCATTCAAAGGTAGATGTAGACGTGTATCTACTGACAGATAAAGATAGTTATTATATGTTGGTAGATGAAGTTACTTACAAAATAGCATGGGCCTATTTTTAGAAAACATGTATTTCTTTGCAGTGATATCTTTGTGTGTGTGTGTGTGTGTGTGTGTGTTATGTATAAGAATGAGAGAGGGAAATAGGTCCAAAATATCAAAAGTGTTTATTTCTGTGTGGGGAGACAAGGAAGATATTTTTCTTTTAAAATTTATATATAATTTTAATATTTTCTTCAGTTATCATGGATTACTTGTATAATAATAAGCCAGTAAACCAGACACTAGTGTACAAACACACACGTGCCTGCACTTTCACACAATAGCAGCCCTAAAAAGAATTACATGGAGTAATGATGTGTGGCTAACTGGTGTGATACCAGTACTGTTGGAAAGTATTGGGGTTCATTAAAGGAAAAAATAGGAAGTTTCCAATATAATATCAGCAACCCAATCAGCTGGTATTATTGACTTCATGACGTGCGTAGCTCTGCTATTTTTCCACATCCTCACACCACCGTCCACCTTCCTTACTCGGCATTCCTCTAGGTCACTGGTTCCAACCAGGGCAAATCTGCTCCCCAGGTGGCACTGGGTGGTGTCTGAGGATGCTTTTGGAAGGATGGTGGTATTATGGCATCTGGCGGTCACAGGGATGCTGCTAAGCATTCTGTAATACTCAGCATGACCATCCACACAAAAAATTATCTGCCCCCAAATATTCACAGCACTGAGCAGGCAAAACACCTCCCTAGGTAAAAAGAACTTGGGTGATGGTTATTGTAAGCACATGTGTTGGAGACAGGATGGTGAAAACCTTCCAAACTAGAATAGCAAAGGCCAACCAGCAGGTGTAATTGCTGTATGGCCTGCTTCCAGGTCTTCCAATGCTCATATTTTACTACTTTATAGTAGTTAATCTCATGGAGATTTGTGGGTGTCTACATAAGTCGGGTGACCCAAATGGTGGAGCACTTGTAACAGACAGACTGGAAGAGCAATGACAAGAGTCATATACATACACGTTCTCCTTTGGGTCCTCTATCTCCAGGCTTACCCACGAGGCCCTGAAAAACAGATGGAGACACCAAAATTACTGCTTACTGAGATCTTTCATTAATCTGACCAATCTAAATGTTAGGTATCTGGATGCAGTTATGCCTTAGAATTTTTGTTTTAAATGACATTTGCCATACCTGAGGACCTGGTAAGCCATCTTTTCCATTTATTCCCTATAAAGACAAAAACGACATTTCTAATTCTTCATCAACAGATAGTTAGCAAGACAAAAGGGTAATGTTTGCAAGGACAAAGCCTTAGTAATATGTCTTCTGAGATCTTGGTGAGTCAATGTGATAAAGTAGAAAACAAAATCATTACAAGCAGAAAGGCCTGAGTGCAAATTCTGGCTCTTGCTACTAGTTCCATTGACCATGTTTGGAAACCCAGTATCTGTTTCTTCTAAAGTAAGGAATCTAGTAATGGAATCTAATAATCTAGTACAACCAAGGATTAAGTAAGAGAACATGGAAAACAGCCCACTTCAGTGTCACAAAGGGCTATTTCCTTTACCTCATCTCTGACTAGAAACACTTCCAGAGAAGGGAACTCAAAGAAGTAGCTGTCTGGGGCCTCACATTTTTATTACCTTTGAACAAATTTTCCAGCATAGTCATTCTTAGTAAATGGTCTCAGTTGCTGCTGGGAGAATTTCATAACATGGCCAGAGCCTGATGCTACTATGAAATCGTCAGCCAGAGAACAATTGCTATTTTTCAGTTAGAAAATATGAAGGGAAAGCTTGACATCTGTAATTGTAGTGTCTTTTTATAAGAAAATGGAAAGCTTCCTGAACTTTAAAAGGCAGTTCTGGAAGTGGTAATAAAGCCTGGCCCTGCCTGTTTGGAGATTTATAAGAGGATCTGGGAGAACTACTGGCTGGGAGATACAAGAAGGAGTAGTACTGGGGTCAAGTACCCAGGGCCTGACAACAGGTGTACTTCTGAGATTTGATTTGAGGAGATGGAGGTGAGGAATGTGATTTCTTAGCTGGCAGGGAAGCACATGGACACACTCTCTGAAAAGCCTGAGAGACTTTTATGGTGCTGGAATGGATTCGTGAGGCTGGAACTGCAGACAACTGCATGTTTTCATTGCTGTAAATTACCCCGAAATCTGTCACAGTTGATGAGCCAACCATAGTCTCGCAAGCCCTCTGAAATATCCTGGGAGTTATCTAGAGTACTTTAACTAAGAACATATTCCCTGAAGTGTATGGTTCAAAGAATTTATTATACCCAGGAATACAAGCAACAAAGATAAAGATTAAGGACAGGTTGCGAAAGAAACACTTGTCACGTGAATAAAGAAGATAAGTATAAAAATGGAATTCATGTTTTTGGTAACAATATAAGAAACTCTATAACTGTTTTGTTTCTAGTAATTTACCAAAGACTCAGGAACATCCTTTTCTGTATATAAACTTATTACTTTCTACCCATAGGGAATCCTGCTTTCAGAGATTTTTTATAGATCATGTATTTGTCTCTCTTTCCCCACATTTTATTTATCTGGCTGACCCCATACCTGGGTATAACTAGCTTTCCTCCTACCCCACACCTGCATCTGAGCAGCTGACTGGTGTCTTGTTTTAACCTAAATATGTGATGGTAGATTGCAAGTAGCCCCTCAGTTTTATGAGGTCATCCTTCTATATTTTCCAGTCGCATTCTCTTTCCTTGTCTCTGAAAGTACCGCTATTTTCCCCTTCAAACTTCAATATCACCTCCTGACTCCTCACCCTTAGCTGACAACTTCAGTTCTTCACTTGCTGAGAAAATAGAGAAGTTTCCCCTTCCCTTCACCAGTTCTATCAACCATTTGTACCCCATGTTCTCCAGCTGAGAAGGATGAACTGAGGTTCTTCCTAATTTCTACTCTTGAGTAGGGTATCAGTGCTCTGTCCCTACTTAGCATCAGAACTTCCCTTCATTAAGAGAATGGATCACTCCTATCAAATACTAACATACTGTAATCTCTCCCACCAATGATCTTCCTATTTTTAAGTCCAATGGAGAATTCTCAGTCTTCATATTGCTTATCTGTATGTTTATCACTCTTCTCTTTCTCTCAAAACACTTAGTTCACTTGACACCCAGGAAGCGTCATTTGCCTGGTTCTCTTCATATCTCACCATTAGCACCTTCATAGTCTTCTTTGTTGGATCCTCTTCCTAATGGCTGAAGTGCTTGCTGTTTATCCACAGTCACTCCATGTCACTCAGGCCCAAGTTTAATACCCACATTGCTCTCTCTGTAATGTTCAGATGCATATGTCCACTGCATACTAGACATTTCCACTTGGGTATCTACTACAGCTTCAATGTGAACGTGTCCCAGATGGAGAACTCTTAGTGTTTCTGCCCAAGCCCAACTATCCCCAGGCTTCCTCATTTGCCCAATGGCGCCACTCTCAGATCTCAGACCTGAACTTCAGCTCGTCTCTCCTTCACACTTCACTTCCAGTTCATCTAGCAAGGCTCGCCAGCTTTCCACCTGATGTGCACTCTAACTAGCCCTGCTCATGACCTCTCAGCTCCACTGTCACTTCTCAGGGAGACTTTGCCAAGGTCTCCCCACTGTCTATGTGCTTCTGTCTACTTCTGTGGTCTTCTCTCCACACTATACTCTGAGCCTTACAATGTGGCCTCATCATTTTCATTCCTGCCACAAAAACTGCAGTGGATTTCCATCATGCTTCAGGTAAAAGCCCAACTCCATTTCATGATCACCTCTCCCTCAGTGTCTCCTCGCTTAGTTCATCCTTGATGTCATTCCTTTGGTGCCCCTTGATCTCACTAGGCTCGCTTCTGTATGGGCCATTTCTTTTGCCTAAGAAAAGGTTCTCTCCAATTTGGTCATGGCTTGATCTCTCAGTGCATGCAAGTTATGTTCAAATTGCACACCTTCTCTCACCCCCTTATTTAAATTATACTATAGTGCTCCACTCTACCTAAACATCCTCCTGGGTGAAATTGTGTGTGTGTGTGTGTGTATTTGTGTTCCCACAGAGCACAAACCCAGTGAGCTGTCAGTATGCAGAACAGTGAGCCGAGCATGTATCATGTGCTCAAGAAATATTAGTTGCATGAAATAAAAGCCTTTTTGTATAATATCCTGGGGGCCCAATGGCAAGGTTTCACTGAATGGCTAGTAGGAATGTGGGATGGGGACTTGGTAAGGGAAGGTGAGGGAGAGGCAGGGAATAAAGTGAGTATTTACAGGCACTCCTTGTGGGTAGGCACTGGGAATCCTTCCATATATGAGGGCACTGACTAATGAATTCATGAAACCCTCAGGGTCCTAATCCAGACCCAGACCTTTTGACTTTCAATTGCATAAGATTTCCATTCTCCATGTTGCTGGTAGTGCCTAGAGAAACACTAACCCCGAGGCTCCTCAGAGGAGCTGAGCCGGGCTCTGGCTGCTTATTTTCTTTCTGCCTTCCTCCCATATACACTGCAGCAAATAAACCAGAAAGGGAGCAACATTGGGTGGGGTGTGTCAGATTCATCTTTATACTCCCTCCTTCAGGGCCCTACACAGCTTTGGCAAACAGTGTGACTAGATGAAAACATGCTGAACTGAATATGAATGGTTGTTACAACAGCACGCCAATAATATATATCAGTAGCCAAGGGCTCATTTAGGACACAGGGAGATGATATATTTGGTGCCAGTGATTTACAAAAGTGTAAGAATGGGACCAAGGAGGGAATTTGAGAATATAGCTTCTGCTTTGGCTTGATATACAGCTATTACATCTGTGAATCTGGTTTCTTTATTGTTCTGATTTTGATCTGGAATGTATCCTCAAAGCCCCATGTGTTCAGAGGTGGGGCTTTTGGAAGGTGATTAATCATGGGGGTGTTGTGCTCATCAGAGGATCCATCTTCTGGTGAGTTCAGTGGCTGAGTGTGCTGTTGGGAGGGACCTGGTTAGAGGCTGGTCACTAGCGGTATGACCAGGAATGTGTCCCTCCCTCCCCAGCTCCTCCCTTCTCTCTCTGCTTCCTGCCTGCCTCTGCTACACCCCTCTGCCATGCTCTGTCTGCCCCGGAGCCAGTAGACCATGGATTGTAGCCTCTTAAGTGCTGGGCATCAGGCATTGTGTCTCAGCAAAGAGAAAGTGACTACAACATTTATATTTTAGGATGTGAAGGGCGTTTTACAATTCTAAGAATATTAGACTCATTGAAAGATAATGTGTCTATTTTCTCAGCACTTAAAAAAACTTACCCTTTTTACCATTGTTTAAGACATCAATATAGCATATAGAGTTCTAAGAAACTCAATGAGAATCCCTGCGCATGCCCCTCTAAATCTATTTCTAGAACCTGCTCTTTTTCCAAAACTTCTTATTCAAATGTCACAGTTTCTGATGAGACAGGTGAAGAGGTAATACTTTAAACACTTCTCACAGCAGCAAAATTTAAATAGTAAAAAGTACTTACTGGTTTTCCTGGGTGTCCTTCTGGTCCAGGGAAACCAATATCCCCAACAGGTCCTCTTTCACCCTATAAACATGTCCGCAGGTAAGTTTGATGGCCAGAGAATGCGTTAAGACTGCATCCAAGTGCAGCACAGTACAAAGGTAATGACAGTGACAGTGACTGGTGACTCACCGGTTCCCCTGGGACTCCCGGAGGCCCTGGGGCACCAGGTTTTCCCTGGGAAAGCAAATCAAAGAGAAAGGTTAGAGGCTAAATTACTGATGCCATGTGCTGCTCCTCCCCTCCCATGAGTTTAAAGTGCTACCAGGGCAGTGGCTGTCTGGAGTGAAATCCCTACTGGGCTAGAGTCTGGGGTAATTACTTAACTCCACAGCTACAAGGCCTAGCCAGAGTGCAGTGCAGTGCTCAGAATGCACATTTGCATGGATGGTGGAGGGGCGGGGACAGCAGATACTTTTGGAAATGTTGAACAAATGTATCCACATTGCTGGAAATCCCTCTCATGCCTTTTTTTCCTGGTAGCTCTTCTTTAAGGTCTGGGGAGGAATGACACAGAGAGTCAAAGAGATCGTCCCAGGTTCTGAGTCTTACAAGAGGGATTTTATGTTCTTGGTAGGATGGCTTGAAAAACATGTTTGACTGGAAGAGCCTATTGTGCTGAAAGGGAGAGGAAAAGATTGGTTCGTTTCAGTACACCCTGGTGTGAAGGACAGTAAACGGGGAAGACCCTGGAGCAGAGACCACATGGAGGGACAAGGGATGAGGATCCAGCAGACTGAAGGGCGGAGAGCTGCTTAAGTGTCCAGACCAGGCTTCTGGAAGAAAACTTCTCCCACCTCTGGACCTAACATGGTGGGTAAAACAGACAAGAAGGGGATGTGGTATGGGGCTGAGAGCTTAGAAATACTGGTCAGTTCTGGGGACATGAAAAGAGAGACTTTCCACTGGTGGTACAGAAGTCTGGAGGAGACCTCCTGCCAGTACAGAGATGGCTGAGGTGTGTGAGGGAGCACCCAGCACCCCTAGGAGCTTCCTGAAGCTTCCGTTGGCCCAAGCTGGGGAAGATGGTAGAGCCGAGAAGGCCAGGATCCAAAGGGGCCCGCAGGGGACATGGGGCAGACAGAGTGTGGATGCCTTGAGATGTCGAGCACAGGAATTGGGGGTGTTGATGGAAGGCAGTGAGTCGCAGCAGTGGGGGGCTCCAGCAGAGAGCTATAGGAGAACTTGCAGACAGGAGCCCTGCTGCCACTAAGGCCACTTCCTCTGGTCACCCACTCGCCACTGTGGGAGAAGGGGAGCCCCTGGGTCGTCCTGAACATACTGGAAAGTGGGTCTGTTCTAGGAAGAGCTGAACTGGGTCCTCTTGGACCTCAGCTGAGTGAACATGTGTCCAAGCGTGGGCAGGCGCCACCCTTGCTTCAATGACAACAATCTTCTCAATTTTTTAATAGTAATGAAATGTCTATAACACAAAGCTTACCATTTAAATTAAGTGTAGCGATCAACGGCTGAATACATTCTTTGTCATGTAACCATTACAACTATCTATTTCTAGAACCATTTAACTGTTTTACTTTCTGAGCCACTATAAAGTATGTACAGTTATAAAAATAAGGTACATTTTAATTATGTTACATAATTGTAGTGCATAAAAATTTTAGCTCTTCCTATTTGTGTCAGTGATCTAATTATAAAATATGATAACTGCTTTTTAAGTAAATGTATCAGATGTTAGGTATTCAAACAGATGACAGGCTAGCCCATATTTCAATCATGCTACATCCTCCCAAAGTATTTTTGGAGCTGGGCATGGTGGCACATGTCTGTAATCTCAGCACCCTTGGAGGCTGAGGCAGGAGGAACTCAAGGTTGAGCCCAGCCTGGGCAATCTAGTGACTTAATGAGACCCTATATCAAAATTTAAAAAGTGAAAAATGGCTGGGGACGCAGCTCAGTGCAAAGGCTCTGGGTTCAATCCCGTGTGTGTGTGTGTGTGTGTGTGTGTGTGTGTGTGTTTGAAATACCTCTTTTGGATTGTCTTTGGAGACTGTCCCACATATTTGCAATACTTTCACTGGTATGCAGTAGTTTTTATTTGAAGATAGACTTAATTTAGGGTAACAGCAAAAAGTAACTTACAGCCATACCCTGGTGAATACAGTAGGAAATTAAGCTTCATTATATCACAGGGAAGAAAAACAGGATGTGAATTCGGGAGGAAAAAGTTGTAAGGTGCTGTGAAAGCAATTCCAGAAACAGAGTCCCAAACATGTTGCTAGGTATGGCAGTGAGGGGCGGGGGGAATGGGATCAAATGTACAGCTGGCTTTCAAGGAGAATCTTTTCAGTAAAAAAAAAAAAAAAAAAAAAATTGACGTTCTTGCTAAAGATAACATTTTCATGTTACTTTTATAGTTATAGAAATATTTATCTTGATCTAGACAGGTTAAATAAGGTAATGTCATTTTTTTTTTTTTTTTTTTTTGGTTCTGCGGATTGAACTTAGGACCTTGTGCTTTCGAGGCAGGCGGCAGAACCACTGAGCTAAATCCCTGGCCCAGGGGATATCGTTTTTCATGAATGACACAGATCATGGATGGAATTTTACCTTTTGTGATTTGACTTGGCAGCTAAATGGAATGAAGCAGGGGTGAGGAGACAGCAAGGGTCTGGGTGGCACTGGGCACTTTCTCATCGCTCTCGTGTTCCTGTGACTCGGGAACTGATTTCCACTGTCTTTCCTATTCTGTCACCCTGGACCTGCCCTCCAAGGCCCTGGCAAGAGGATAAATGGCCTGTTCTTCATAGAGCAGGACCACAAAACTTTAATTAGAGTATCAGGGATAAAGATCAGAATGATCCCTAGGGCTTGGAAAATGATTTCAACCTTTCCTGAAGCCCTTCCTACTCATTTGAAAAGACCTTGATGGGATTAAAACATTTGACACCAGAGAGCAACAAAAATGATTGAGACCATGAGGGCAGTTTACGAGGTGACACCAGCGGCAGTAAAGCTCCGTTAATGACACTGGGCTAGGGGCAGCTCCGGCAGACTGCAGTGTAGAGGCAGCCGGAAGTAGGTGCTGGGATGAGGGCTCTGCCTTCTGAACACTGAGAAACCCTGAGATATGGCAAGGATAGGGGAAGAACCCAAGGGTCGAAGCTGCGCTGCCTATTAATATACAGCCACGGGTATGGGTCCCTCCCCAGGGGAAAGTGACTTGGGAAGAAAAAAAGACAAAAATAAGAAAAAGGTGAAAAGAACAGCATATTCTTGAATTAGGAGGGGAACAGTGGTTTTGTCTTTGAACTGTAGGCTCTGAGAACCTAATGTCACATGAGTTACAATGTGGTCCCCAGTCCTCCTTGGCCCTGGGAGAGGCTTATCACAGAGAAGAAAATATTCACCTGCAAAAAGAACGTAAAATCATCTGAACTCACCCCTATCCCGGCTATTCCTGGAGAACCTGCTGGGCCTCGATCTCCCTGTTGAGATTAAAATAAAAATGGCTACTTAGAATATCTGTAAAGCCTTATAAAGCCGATGCTCAAATAGTTACTTGAATTTAGTAAAGCTTTTCTTTGGATCTGAAAAAGCCATCAATCTCAGCTGCACGGAAAAATAACTGCATCCAACTGAATTCAATACAACCTTTTCCCCTAAGAAAAAGAGCGTTCATGTCATCTGTGACTTACTGTTCACAGGACTCCATACATACAGGTAAAATTAATCATACTGGAGTGTCTTCTATAAAGCTTTTCTATATTTGCCTCATTGGGTATAAAGTTAGGATGCAAAGATCTAGAACTAAAGGTTGATTAATCAGAATATTCCATTAATTGTTCCGAAAAAACAATGACAGCTCCTTTTCAAGAGGAAGTGTGGTATTTTAGACAAAGCTGACAACGCTAAAAATACTGATGATTATATATGAGATAATAAAATGGCAATTTTGTTGGGCACGACTTACATTAAAAGCTTCATAACTTACATAAAAGAGGACTTGATTAAATGAAGAAATATACTATGTTCTTAAAGGATGACAATGCTATAAAGGTGTTACTACACAAACTAATTTATAAACTTGATGCAATTCTTAAATTTCAATTTGATCAAAAGATATTAAAGTTCAGTTGAGATAATGAGAGGATAAAAGAAAATAAAGAATAATAGATATTAGCAGTATCAATATTAAACACATAATAAAGCTATAATAATTGAGATAATGGAATTCTGGCATAAAGTTAAGCCATACATCAATGGAATAAAATTTAAATCTCAGACGGTCCAGCATTCATAACAGGATTTTAGTAAAAAAACCCAGTGTATCATTTTGCAAACGGGGCTGATGACTGGATAACTTCCTTGAAAAAAAGTTTGACCCTTGTCTTTACATTTCATGTAGATTTCATGTAGATTAATGTAGGAAATAAACATAAAAGAGAAGAATGTATTAGTGACTATCTGATCTTGGTTGAAAATGAAAGCACACATCATTTGTGTATAAAAGCAAAACAAGTGATCAAAGACATCATCTTAGATTTAACTCTATTAGGGTTATATTTATAGGATTGAATATAAAAATAAAGGGCAAGGACCAGTTGGATAAAATTCCAACATATGTGACCAAAGTAATTTCTGAAATATGTAAAACATAGCTACTGTCAAGAAGAAAAAAACTCATAGAAAAATATAGCATGATTGCATTCATATCTAAAAAACCCGATCTCAAAAAGTAAATGTTACCAGAAATTATGGAGTGGAAGAAGGGAGAGAGATTGGTTAATGGAAGAGAAGTTACAATTAGGAAAATGTTCTGGTGCTCCATTGTACTGTAGGATGCTGCAATTAAGAATGTCTTGTACATTTCAGAATGGTTAGAAGAGTGGGTTTTTAATGTTCTCACTGCAAAGAAATGATAAATGTCTGAGGCTATGATTATTTTTTAGCTAAGAGCCCTGATTTGATTACATACTGTATACATGCATGGGAACATCATACGATATCCCTAAATATGTACAATTATTATGTGTCAATCAAAAATGTTACAAATAGGCAGAGGATATAAACAGGCAATTCTCATCAGTTTTACTACCCTGTAAACTATGGAATTTTCACCTTTAAATATACTAGAACTTTTTATTAGGTGGAAACATTTGCAAATTTGATAAAGACTAATGCTAAAAGAACTCAACAAGATGGTTCTGTGTTCAGGTCTCTTCCTTGAATCACTGTTTTCTAATGATCTTATCTCACCTTCTCATAGATACTTCCGCGACCTTGTCAATAAAAATATCTGTACCCCCTCCAGATTCTCAATTTCACGCATTCCAACCTTAGATCATCACTTCCCACCACTACTTGCTCCCTCAAGTACCATGAACCCCAAGAACTCCAATCCATTGGTGCCACAAAATTTTCATTCTTTCATTCCCTAGATGGTCTTTGTTGCCTCGTTTAAATTCCATGGTTCCTAGTGATCTCACCTTCTTGTGTACACCATGAACTCACTTGCTCCACTCTTGATTCTAGTACTCATTTTTCAAAACTAGAGCATATTTAAAACTAACTTCCCCACTATTCCCGGCTCACATCATGGCAGGTGCTGCTGCTCCATTCAGAAACCACCAGTGGCTCTCAGTGAAAGATAAAGTCCTGTTGGTGGCGGATGAAGCTCTTTATTAGTGCTTCTCACATTCTTTGTGGTGAAAGAGTTGTTTATTTACTTATTTTCTAATATATCATGAACCAAAATAAATCTACTGATCACATTTGCTAGACAGATTACTGGACAAGTCCTTGCAGCTTGCTCTCAATCACTGTAGTTACCATAGAGCCCATGACAAAGGTCTGTAGGCAGCACTGGTCCTCTGCTTCCCACAATTGAGTAGTGGTCTCCAGTGAGGTTACTCCTCTTCCTGCCCCTACCTCTCCTGCCCTCTCCCTGCACTCCTCCCCTAGTATCTGTGGATCCAGCAGGAAATGTCAAGCTTCAAGGCCTTCAGATCTGCTATTTCCTCTTCCTGGAAGGGCCTTCTGTGCTAGGCAAATGCTCCACTACTGAGTTATACCCTCAGGCCTAGAACGTTCTTCCTTCAAACTTGATGGACTTAACTATATCTCCCTCACTTTATTCAGGTCTTTGCTTAGATCTTGGCCTTGTAGGCACCCTGTTTAAACTCATAAACCCCACCCTGTCACTCAAGTACTCCTGATCCACCTTAACTTGCTCTTTTTCTTTCTTTCCATAGTATTTGTCAACAATATTGTTTAGTTTTTATATCCCCTTGCTAAAATATAAGTTCTAAGTGACCAGAAAATTTTGCCTATTTTGTTCCCTTATGCATTCCCAATCTAAAATAGTCTCGTGCACAACAGTAGGAAATTAGTAAGTATTTTTGAATGTTATAGTTTAAATATAAAATGTCCCCCAAAGTCTCACGTGTTCAGAAGCAGGGCTTTGGAATGGTGATTGGATAATGGGGCACTGTACCCAGCAGGAGATATGCCCACAGGTGAGTCCAGTAGCTGAATGGTTTAGGAGGCGGGGCCTAGCCAGAGATGATCCCTGGGGATGTGATCTGGAAGGATTGTATTCTTGTCCCTGGCTCATCCCTTCTCTGTTTTCTGGACACCATGGGGTGACCATGACCTTCCACTGTGCCATTGTGCCTTGGAGCCAGCCAATCATGGACTGAAGCTGCTGAAACCATGAGCCAAATAAACCTCTCCTCCTTTAAGTTGTGGGTGTTGGCTATTTTATCCCAGTGAGGAGAAAGTGACTAATGCAAATGTTGAATGTAGGAAACCATTTACACCTTCTGTGCTTACCTTCATGCCTGGAAATCCTTCTAGTCCTGGCAAGCCCATTGCACCAGGCTCTCCCTGTGAAATGCAAACATAAAGAAATGTCGCTGCAATGACCAAAAGGTTTTGAAGCACTGATTCAAAAAGCAAAGATATTTTTTGTCAACCTCTCTGACCCTGCCTACCTTTCCCCAGCCCTGATTTGTAATTTAGCAAGTAAATAGTATGCTCTATTTTCAAGGAATGTAATAATACATTTGGAATATGAAAATAGTTTGTGAATAAAAGCTGTTCTTGAGAGGTGTACTTTGATTATTTGCTGATTAAGAATGTAATCAGAAAGTGCAAGGTCCCGAAGTTTGGTCCCCAGTACCAAAAAAAAAAAGTAATCAGAATGAATCCTTCTAGCCAGTAATACTCCAATTTCAATAAGAATTAGAATGAAAGGCTGGACTTTAATAAAATTTGCCAGTTTGTGAGATACTTGGGGCTGCTAGGTTGCTAGAGAACAAGACTTAACTGTTTAAAGGTCGATGAACCTGGAGCTGTCAATGCAGTTTATCATCCGAGGTAGTCCCTGAAGCTGGGCATGGGAATGCTTAGGACCCGAGGAGCAGTCTTAGCAGTGACTTCAAGAGTCTGTCACTCAAACTAACAGTTCATTCATAGGGGATGGAGTAGCATTTTCCATAAAAAAGAATGTTTCCATATTCAGTGGAAGAGGCCAGGCTAAGGAGCTTGTAGGTCTTCATGGAACACATTTGGAAACTCTGGGAGAAAGGAAGCTGCTGACTGAACAAGGAAACATTAGGGCTTTTCAATCAAGAAAGAGATAAAATGGGGGAGTCGTTTGATACATTGTTAATGAATTAATGTTCCCTCCAAATATTTTATGACATTGGATACTTTGAAAGTAATCACATAGACACCAAAGCTGCCAAATGTCATTCTTTGTATTTTGTGCACACAATTTTAATCTTCAAAAATGTTGCTGAGACTCATTCATTATTGTTTGATATTTTCTTTATTATAGAAGCCTTAATAAACATATGAATTGATTTTTTTTAATGCTTCAGAAATCTTTTTAAATGCCCACTAATATGTAACCTATCAATCAGAAAACAAAAATTGAAAAAGATGTTCAGCTTTTATTCTGCAGAAGGCTCTGTGAAGGTCCTGAGTTAACAAATAAAATACTCTCCAGTCTCTGTTTACATTCTCAACCGTCCTGAGGACAGGGAAGGTGCCCAATCAATCACTCAGTATTCGAAAGCAGCTAATAATTAAGTTTTCAATTAAACATCATTGAATTCCAAAAGAAATGGTTTGCTTTAGAAGATAATACAAAGGTTTACTGCAGAGCTCCTCAGGGGACTGGGAGGGTCCTGGAAGAGTCCATCTTCCCTGCCGCCCTCAGGGAGGCTTTTCAGCCTTCTCCTCGGGTCCTGAACTCTTCCACTCCTGGCTAACTTCTGGGGCTTGGGGTGTCACTTCTCCACATCAGACACATGGGGAAGGACATGATGAGAATTACATGGTGGTGATCAGGGACCCAACAGAGCAATTTTAGTTTCTTTTTCTAGGATAAGCCTGAATGTTGACCCAGAATTTAGTTTCATGATTCCATGTTTGTCTTTCTGCTTTGTTCAGTTTACATCTCTAAAAACAGGGAAAACACATTGATTAGTTCTTACTCCTTATCCTTTGCTTCATTTAAGAACTGAAGCTCGAGCTCTTCAAATTCTACTTGAGTACATCTTCATCTTTGTGGCCAGCCACTTTCTGATGCAAGTGAATTGTAATTTAGCCTTCATTTTAATACTTACAAAACTTCCTCACCTTAATCTGCAATTTTTTTTTTTCTTTGGGTACCGGGGATCGAACTTAGGTCCTTGCGCTTGCGCAGCAGGTGACGAAACCACTGAGCTAAATCCCCGGCCCCAAATCTGCAAATGATTAACGCGAGAACTTGAAAGAGTGTTCCAAAGAGAAGCCTAGATGCACCTATGTGATGGAGGGGTTGTCCTGGTGTGTAGGGCAGGTCAAGACCATGAGAAAACTAAAACAATGAATGATACAGTAAAGAAGTTACAAATAAAGGGTGTTATGACTGGCAAAATGAAACTTCTGCAGTATGCATTTGGGGTTCAGTTGGAGTCTTAACTTTCTAGTTGGAATAATGCTTTCCAGGGAAAAACACTGATTTTTAATATCTATTGGCAAATAAAATAGTCACCCTTTAAGGCATTTCATTTAAAAATAAATGTAAAAATTATTTTCTGTGGCTGTTCCTTGGCTGTCTTAAAATTCAGTTTTGTCAACTTGTGCTGTAATAACAGGGCTTTGCCCTTCCCACGTGGTCATGGGCAGTGGGCTGAAAGTTTCAGTTTCAGGCACACTCGAGTTTCAAGTCTGTACCTGAAGGTTAGAGGGATATACAAATGGGACATGAAGGATGGAATGTGTGCTTGAAAAGGACGTGATAGGAAAAGTGCCAAGGATTAAAGGAACCTAATCGAATTTGGCAGAGCTTTCACAGTGAGGCCCCATGGTTGAGAAAGATGCTGAGAACAATTACCACCCTCGGGGCGGCTGGAGGATGTGATCCCCTCCCTGCTGAGCAGCAGCCTCCTGATACATCCTGCCTAATAAGTGGGTTGATGACAGCAGACACCTCCTGCAGGATAACTGCCTAAGACATTCACAGCAAATAAACAGTCCCTTTTGTTGTTGGGGAGAGTTGTCTGACATGTTAAGGAATTTCCTCCCAGTCAGAATTTCTCTTCCACAATCTACTTAAAATCCAATCAATCATCAAAAGGGGCCTATTAGAAGATAGCGTTCCATTTATCAAAGGCTTTATATGTGCCTTACTAAATCACAGGACAATTCTTAAAAAACACTGATGGAAAGAGATGAACCTCAAGGGCAGTGGCAACATCAGGACTAATGTATCTTAGAAATAACACATGCGGGGCCAAGGATTTAGCTCAGTGGTTCCACTGCCTGCCTTGCAAGAGCAAGGTCCCGAGTTTGATCCCCAGCACCAACAAAACAAAGCCAATACGTGCTGGTGTTTCTCTGGTCACCTGCTTGTGGCCTCTAATATTAACTGATGAGCTCCTAGGATGACGCACTTTTCTCTAAATGTAAACAAGGACCTATTTTCTAAACGATGCAACCTGTACATACCACTGGGCCAGGATCACCTTTTGGGCCCTATAAAGAAAACATAAAAAGTCACTTAAAAAATAATGTCTGAAGCAAAATAACAGAATACAAAGCATTTTTGGCAATTTGTTTTAATACATGTAAGAATATTGCAACTTCTGCCTTTGGTACAGTTTGGATTTAAAAAATAAGACTCAGAATTCAAAACCTGATGAGACTTCTATCATGAAAATGATTGGACATTGATTTAGGTCTTAGATTTTACAATGAAGAAAAGTAACATCCCTACGCTAAATGGTAGTTTTCATATTTTGGTTATGCATTTTTTTTCAATTCAATATAATTGGTTTCACTTATTTCCTTCTGCAGTAAAATTTGGTTATATTTATAATGCACCTCTTTCAGTGAATTTAGGAGTTTTTTCCCCTTTCTGAAGGTTCAGATAAAGTGCGGTTGATGATTAATAGCTATACTCACAGGGGGACCAGGGGGTCCTGGATAACTGGGAACATTCATGCCTCCCTTAAAAAAGAAAAGGAAAAAAAAAATGAAAAGAATTTATAGAAACATTTACCTGGGAAATTATTTTAAATAATTGCAAAAAAGAAAAAGAAAAAAAAACAATGAAAAGAATTTATAGAAACAGTTACCTGGGAAATTATTTTAAATAATTGCAAAATAATTATTTTAAATACCTGGATTTTATATAAGCTGCTCATGCCATTTCCTTCATTGAGTGGTATACCCTTAGGAAAGAAAAGAGATGTAGAATTACTTTTTAAAAATAAAAAAAGGAAGAATAATACCATTTGGTAAAATGATAAAAGGTGGAAATGCTAGTTTAGAAAGGGAATTTAATACTATGAGCAAAATAACCCAGTGTTTCTATTTTTAGCGTTTCTGAAGCAGATGTAGGGACAGGAAAAGGCATATGTGTCACACAGGAAACTACTGCCACATCGGCTGGGGTTTGACGTTCAGGTTTGGCAGATGTGACACTAATGCATTTGAAGAAAAATATTATTTGCTCATTAAAATTCAGTTCGTGAGTTGCCAGTTTATGCTGTGTTCAGCCTGCTGGGCTGCAGGCTACAGTGGGGTAGTGCTGATGTACATGTGAATAGGGAACAATTTGGCTACTGAAGAGTAATTTTTTTCCTACAGTCTCTTCATACCAAATAGAAAATTATGGTAAATGGGAAGATGACCATTAATCACACCCTGTGCGGATGTTTCTATAAAAAGACATTCTTTATAACAATGGGGAAAAAGAACTTCCTTAAGAAATTGAGAAGTAAATATAAAGTATTTGAGTAATCAATGCTTACAGAGAACTTATTTTGTAGTTTAAAAAAATACATTTTAGCATTTAGGAAAATTAGTATATGAAAATTTTAGCCATCTTCCACTGGGGAGGGAGTCAATTTTAGAATATGAACTCCAAATACTTTTGCATCTTGCTTCCTTGGCAAGGGAGGAGGTAACTAACAAAGACAAAGAGGTTTAGGAAAACAGAAGGCTGATGTGTGTGCAAAGTGTGCAACTGCCCACAAACACATTCTTGTTTTCAACCGATTCGGCCCTAGGAGGTAAGGTGGAAAGAGCCTTCAGCCTGGACCTCGGCTCTGCTGCAGTTTGAGTGCGGCGCCACAGGGGGGCAGTCTTGCCTCAGAGAGCGGCCTTGTCCTCTCCAGCCTCCCAGACACAGGGCACATCCATCTCAATCACCAGCACTAATACATCGATGGCTCTTGTACACTTTGTCACTAGGCGCTATATAAATAGCAGTTCCTTGCATCTCAGACATCTTGGATGGGAATGAGCACAGAGCATAACACCAAAAGGGATCTCTCTTCAGAGCTCCTTTATTTTCCGTGAATGAGGCTCATTGACAGGACCTGACTCTCCACGGCCCTCAGGCAGGACATGGACAGCCAGGGCACACACTCAGGTCCCCCGAGTCCACGCAGGGAGGCCTGCAGTGTGCAATTCTGAACACTGCACAAGACGGCTGAGCCAAAGGGGGAGCAGGTCAGGTCTGCCCAGGGTTGCACTGGCTGCCATTTGCAGGTGTGCACTGAACTCAGCAGACTTCTGCCTGTTAGACCAGCTACACACAGTGATAAGTCACCTGTAAGCACACGGATGTTAACTGTGAAACAACTCACGGGTGGTCCAGGGGGTCCAGGTTTCCCAGGGGGTCCCTCGCTGCCCTGCAAGGGACACACAGGCCAAAATCAACTGGCTTAGACACTTCTACCCCGGTTTTATGAGCCCGACTGTGATTGTGCAGAGCCGTCTTCTAACACGAGGATGACCTGTCATTTGTCTCAGCCTTGTGCAGTCTTACCCGGCGTAGCTTTCCCCTGCCCCAGGAAAGCACATCTACACCCTAGGGATGGTGAACGCCATTCCCCACCCTGTCCAGATTCTCACCATGGGAACTCCAGGGAATGAAGTTTATTTTAAAGGAAGCCAGACAAGCCAGATGCCCACATCTTGGGCTTCGTGCATCCATGGGGGGACCGAGCAAAGTTCCTCTGACAGGGTCTCTAGGATGGTGGCCTCCGGGCTCGCCCTCACTTTTAACCTCGCCACCACCTTCATTTACTGGGAACCAGAGGCCCCATCCATACAATTTGAACAAAGCAGAAAATCACAGTCTGTGTTATCTCTGTAGGAGGAGAAACTTCCTCGGTTTCCTACGTTAGTGCAAGGATTTAGGAGTGCTGAAAAGTGACTGATACAACACTTCTTAAGGGAGACAGCCCACACCATTGAAACAGCCCTAGACTTGCTTCTAGCAGAAGCGCTAGAATTCGTGAAAAATAAATTGAAATTCAAACTTGGAAGTGCATTTCGCTTTTATTTTTATAAAACATGGAATACTTAGTGACGTACAGGAAGCAGTTACTGTAGCTTTTTGGTCTTTCGTTCCTGTAACTGTGCATTGTTTTTAGAATAATAGACTTAAAAGACTGTACAAGATACTCTATTTCAGGGGCAATGGCAAGAAATGGTTATTGAAAAAAAGAATCCAGGCAGAGTACAAATACAATGCCCAAGAATTTTGAGAGATTTTAGCCTATTTCCAAAATTCGATCAAGGATTTTATTCCGGTGCCGACCCATTTTCCAGTAGCAAAAGTAATCATCATACAATTTGTACATTTATCAAAAACTATAAAGTTCTTATTGCAATATGCGCCTGAGAATGTTGACAAAGAATAAACATGTTGTCTCTGTTCCCAAACTGCTTTGATGGTGGATATCTCTTTATGACATGTCATGTTCTGACTGCCTACAGTCAGAATTATGCCACAGTTCCCATAAGCCAATAAACAAGGAAGGATATGTACCCACTGAAAGGAGTTTTACCCCAATTTGGCACAAATAAAAGTCACATTTTCATTCTCATTTGTGCCCCAAGCTCATCTCAGTTGGAATTCCCATTAACTTCAAAGGCAAGTGTATAACTGAGTAATTTCCATAGAGAGCAGAGAAAAGAGGCTGTGAGATGGGGCAAGGTCCTTGGGGTATCACCAGCAAAAACGTGCTGAGACTATCTAGAATAAGCACATTGTTTTCTTTGAATTTTGTGGATTCTTTTGCTCTTCTATCCCTTCATACTCCATTTAGGACATGGTACTTGGAGCCTGACAAGTGGGTGAGACACACCGAAAGTGGCTCATTTGGACCACTGATTCTTCTCCAGTCTGAATAGGAAGGATTATTTTACTCATTTGCCGACTCTGCCGGTTTAGACCTGAAGTTTGGCAAACCTGGGAAGTCTTCTGATAATGCTCTGCTCTTGTCCTCCCTTCGCACCACAGGCACACATTTTTCCAATTTTTGGCTTCCCCAGGAAACAAGGTCCTTATTTAATTTCCCCTATGACGTTCTAGAGACAGAATTTCCAGACCCTGTGGTTACTGGAATCCCTTTCCATGGCCAGCAAGGTGTCTGGAACCATGGCACCTGCTGTGGTCTGCTTCCCAGCCCCAGTTCCTAGGACAAATCTCCCCCTGCAGGGAGCTGTATTAGGAAATGAAGTCTTTCCCTAGGAGGATCCCTCCGCTGCTCTGAACAACTGCCAGAACACACCCTTCCAAGTCTACTCCAAGAATAGTCACTCCCTGACACCATTTCTCCTTCCAGACTGGGCTCAACTGTATGGCCCCTCAATAAATGGTGCCATCAACCCCCAACCGAAGCTGCAAGTCAGATGGCAAGTGAGGTTTTCCGTCTGTACCTTGTCACCCTTTGTTCCCACGGGACCAGGATGTCCAGTTCTTCCTATTAATCCCTGTAAGACAGAAAACTAATTTTGTTGCAGAAAGAACAACTAAATAGCCAAAAGGTGTTGGAAGCTGGTTGGTAAAACTTACACATTGTGAAGGTCATGTGGTTCTAATTAAGTCAGTCCTACACGCTTACATTTCTTCAGGCTGTATCAGCACCTGTACCCTGCTGATAAGCCCTTGGAAGGGTGAAATTTGTATTTGTGGTCGCTTTTTCACCTTGGCCAACCACATTTAATGACCTTAATTGGAACCTTTTGATACATTTAAGAATCTAGCCTTGCTGTTTAAATGGAAATTTACATAACATTATGCCTTCCTAAATGAGCTATAATTTTGGTAGCGATCAACATTTTAAATACTTCAAGATGCGGCAGAATTAACAATGTGCATATTGAGTTATGTGATCTACATTTTATCAGCAAAATATAAAATTTAATTTTAATTCTTCTTTAGGAATAGAGTTAGCTATAATTTTCATGGCTTCTTTCATAGCTGTTTATAACTTTTAATTTTACTGTACAATTTAAAACCAGATTTGTTCTATATACTGTGGTAAAGGCATACATGGTAAAAATTTAATTACGACAAACCCATGATTCAGTCATATTAAGGAATATGATTACCATCCTATTTGTGTGGTAGAAATTCTATCTGTAAAGGAATTCTAAGAAGGGAAGAGAGACATTGAGACATGAATTGGGTGCTAGATTTAGCAAGTACAAACATTACTTGAGATGATCTTACACTAAAAAAATTATTTATTTGAAATTCAAATTAGGTTTGGCAGGTGGAAAAAAAAAGATTCTCCAGTATTCTAGGAAAACACAATAATCAAAGGCACAATGGCCACAATGGCACATTTATGGGATGGTGGATCCTTTAAAATTAGAGCACTTTTAAGCTCATATATGAGAATAAAAATAAATCTGATAATCTTTGATTTACTCTTGTTCGGCAGAAATAAATTCTCAGCTTCTGTTTCCATCAGAGTATCTTTACTTACAGTGCCTGTCTGGCAAGTGCAAGGCCTTGAGTTCAATTCCTGGTATTAAAAAAAAAATCTTTTCTAAAGGTTAGTGCTAAGAAATTCTAACTAAAAAATGGAATGCTCTTTGAGATCTAATTTCTATTTTAGAGTAGCTTATTCCCTGACTGCTTTCTGGTCTGGAAGAATTCTGTGGCAGTCCAGCATGCTCACCAGCCTTAAATAATACTAAATGAAACATGAGATGGTGGATGGGCTGTTTTTCCAGGCAACCCTTGGAAATCTATGCAGAAGCACAGAGTAAAAGACAAGGAATCTTAACACACCTAAAGTCACTCCAGCAGGTGTGAGCTCTGAGTAGAAGTTTAATGAATACTTACAGGGGGTCCAGTCAGGCCCGGGGCTCCTGGAATGCCTGGAATTCCTTGAAGACCCTAGAAGAGAAAGGTTTACCATAAAATCTGCTATAGAGAACAATGCATTCAGTTAATCAAATATTATTGAAAAACATAATGACAAACATATTTTAGCTAACTAGGAAACATATGTATGCCGTGTATAAATATTTATTTCCAAAGAGTAAGGGTGCTGGCTAAGACGCCATTTGATGGAATTGATCTGATGATTCACAGAGCATTTCAGATCTTACAGAGCCAGCTCTGCTAAAGCACAGAAATACAAACTTCAGATCGGCAGAATGCCAGCAGAGAAATGTATGATTACATGAAGGCTTCATTCAGCTGAGAGAAAAATGGAATACATTTAATGATAAATCTAGTTTAGCCAATCGGTTTGTCACAGGAAGAAATTTGGCTCATTGGTAAATTTAAATTTGCTGTCCTTTTATGGATTAAGCATAAAAGTGCTCCTTCCCTCCTTGGGTTTGTAGAATAATGCCAATTATACTGGATAGTATTTATCATTCCAGTTTTAGTATATGTACTGCCGAAGCAAGCACAACTGGATAGTATTTAAAATGCTGATACATTTATATATCAAGGAAGGATGTACAAAATTAACCATCAACTTGTGTAATTTTGTTCCATTATCAAGTGCACCAACAGAATATTAATAAATTGCATAAAAATTTATAATAGGAAACACTTTATAACTATTAAAATTATGATTTAGAGAACTATTAGATAACATGGAAAAAGCTACAAAATGTTAAATAGCATAGGTCAATTTAAACAATTATAAAAACATTTCCTATAAGGAATGATAGGAATGATAAACAGATTTTTACTATTCCGTCATGGCAAATTGATATTTTATCTAGAAAGTTGTGTCAGGTATTTCAGAATTCTGGATTTTCAGACTTTTTACAAGGGCAACACAGTCCATGTTCTGAGTATTAAGTAGCATTTCCAGCGATGCCCACAGAAATATTTCTGTAGCAATATGGTATCTGATAGAGGGAGAAAAATAGACCAGCTCGATGTGAAGTCAGGTCAGATTTTGCTGCCAGATGAATTTTCTGCAAACTTGGGAAAAGCTTCCAGGTTTTTTTAAGTCTTTCTAGGTTTAGGGATTGTGGATTACTATGTTAATATTACCAGCACTTTTTCCTGGGCAGTGGGAATAGAGGTAACATCATTTTAGAACTTTTTGTGAATTTCCCAAATTTTCCATAACAAACTTAGATCACTTCTGTAATAGAAAAATTATGATGCTCTTTTGTTATTTTAGATAAACACATATGGCATCAAGTTCTAGAATGACAGCCTCAGTGGCAAAGCAATAGCATATGCAAGGCCCTAGGTTCAACCCAAAGCACTGCAAAATAAAAAGTTCCATGTTCTAGATCAAATAGTTCTACTCTTTCAAGATTTAATTTCCTTTACTGAATATTCTGTTTATATGGCCAATACACTTTGTCACATGCTTCCTTCCCCCTTTGCTGTTGTGAAATATGAATTTATATGTACAGAGCCTGCCCCCCAAATGTATACACACTTCAGGAAAAGAAAAGTAGTAGGATGTTTTTTCAACAAATGGTGTTACTCTCATATGTAGAAAACCCACTACACTTCTGGCCCGTAGGGAAGAAATTGAAAATCCATGTGCAGAAATCTCAGTGCCCAAGGTTACCCAAGCAGCAGTTCGAAGTACTGATGTCTGGAAGCTCATGGCCACCACTTTGAGCACCTCTTGTCACTGTAGAAGCTAAAGGTAACTTGCATTACTGTCGCGATGTCTCAATAAACTTAGTATTAAAATATTCAAGTTTTTCTTTTCCTGAAGTGTGTATACATTTTTTGGGCAGATTCTGTATAAATTATAAATATTAGATAAAGTGACCATGATGAAATTACTGCATATTTACTTTTTTTCCCATTAAGTTTATTGGTACATTTTAGGTATAAAATACAGTTACATTCATCATTAGGATCTTGTACCTTTACATGATGTATCTGGGTTCTTATTTTTTCCCCTTTCCCTGCCCACCCTTCCCTATTTGCAAAGACTTTGTTTCCATTTTTTTTCTTTTCTCATGTTTTTTCTTTTCCCTTCTTTACTTTCCCCTACCCCTCCTACTTCCCGTATTCCTTTAGACCTTTTTTTTTCCCTATTACACAATATCAATTATACATTTTTAAAATTATAATATCAAGATCTAGAGGACATTACCACAGATTTTACAGAATTTAAAAGGATATAGAAAGCATATTACA